CATAATAAACCCTAAGCCCTAAACCAACGAGATGCCCTAGCAAAGGCATGGCTTTCAAGATTCAGGAAGGGCTTAGAGGCCTGGGATCCACCTGAACCTTTAAACCAACCTAGTTTCTTAGGGTTTAGGGTTAAGGGGTCTAGGATTCCGTATGATGATTTCCTAGAGGCAGGCTTTTCAACCCTGAACGCTAAACCCCAAGCCGTAGGTAGGTCAGGATCTAGACCGAACAGATGGGTAGTTCTCTAAATCAGGGTCCCCTTTTTTAGGTCCCAATATGGTAAGGCACCCTTAAAAAAAGGACCCTAACAGGGGCCCTTATTTAAAGAACTTCCCAGATGAAGTCGGCCTCCTCCACAGCTGTCGCCGCCCTTGAACACCAAAAAGGCTTATGGTTTCGGGTTTAGTGTTTCGGATTTACGGGGTTTAGGCTTTCGGATCTGGGGACAAGGGTTCAGGACGATCTATTTTGCTGGAGCCTCCAAATCTAACCGAAAAAAGCCAAACCACTACTACTGTTAAGTTTTAGGTTATAAGGTTGGGCCGATATCTTTGGCGTGCTGCTACAGATAGAGACCGAAGGCGATGACGTAGATCCACGGAAGCTATTCCACCCACGGAAGCTATTCCACCGTGATGCCGCACCGCTGCTACAGGTACCTGGTTCATGTACCACAGCTGGCCTTGTATCTTCAAAACCCTAGACCCTAAACAGTGACTCTGTGGCAAGCCTTGGGTTCGGGCTTCAGGTTTGCTATCCAATGCCCTTTCCGGGTAACTCTTTCATTTTGTGTGGCATGCCGCTCACAGATCATCCAGGCAGAGGTAGCTGCTCTTTGCAAGGTCAATGTTTGGTGGATTGTGTCGCTGGGTTCTGCGGCTTTGATGTGGCATCCACCGCATGTTCACAAACAGGCACGTTTCATGTGGTACTGGAACAAAACATTGCAGAATTACCGGGCATGGCTTCTCCATGGTTTCGTCCGAAGTCGGAAACCGAACCGGATGAGCCGAACCATTGCACTTCCTATGCAGAGGGGCAAGCAGAAAGACACAAATAGAGAGAGAGAGAGAGAGAGAGAGAGAGATTGCCAACAAGGGAAAAGAGCGAGGGAAAACAAGTACTCGCTCCGTATTTCTCGCTTGACCTGATTCAAAGCCAAATCATCAAGCTACCTGCATCTATATCTATATGTATTTGGCATACCTCCACGCCCTGCTTGCGCAGTGGTTGTGTGGGAGGCACGTTGTAACTGTACTCCGCCCGAAGCGAAACAACAAAACCGGGTCAAGACGTTAACTAACCCCCTGAAGCCCACTCCCGAAAACCCACCCTATCAGCCTCCTCAAAAACACAAAGCATCCTCAGAGAAAGAAATCATGAAATAGAAGCACCCTCGGAGGCAAGCTTCTTAATACGGAATCCTAATCCCCTAAACCCTAATCCTCTAAACCCTAATCCCCTAATCCCTAATCCCTACACCCTGGACACTACACCGAACGACCTGGACATTGACTCGCCCAAGTCTGTCCACTGCTCCTGGCCGGGCTCCGAGCCGAAATTCGGGGTTTAGGGTTTAGGGTTTGGGATTCGTTTTAGCAGAATTGCGGGGTTTTCAACCTCTGTATGGGCCGCGACAAAACGGCTGTTGCTGCAGGGTTTTACAGTGTCATAAGAGTGGTTTATGGGTCGTTTATGCAGGTTTCTGTTTACGGGTTTTCTAGGGTTTGATGTATCGGGGCCTTGGGAACTCAAGTGGGGTTGTGAGACATGCTTATAGAGGGACACCAAGGAATCTTTCTGCTACTAGCTATTCAGGCTGCTACGTGACTACGGCTTCTTGAGGCCCTAAACACCACAAGCCAGTAGACCCTAGACCGTAAACCCCTAAACCCTAAACCCTAAACCCCTAATCCCCAAACCCTCCGCCCCTCCGCCCCTCAGCGCCCTGAGTTGGGGTGGTGTGGAGTTTATGGTCAAACAGGGGGCTTGGTTGGGGTGTCAGAAAAGGGATTGCATGAGAACCCCACAGCAAACTAGGGTGTAGTAGTGCCATATATAGGGGCCTTAATAATTAGACTAGGGTTTTGGGGCCCGAAATAGTATTGGTAATTATTTAGGCCCCTACAATTTCAAAAGTAAGCTCTGAGATCCTAAACCCTTGAACCCAAGGCCGAAGCCCACCTCCAAGAAAGGAGGGTTGCAGTAATCCAAGGTAGCGACTGTACCTGATTCCCTGAAATTGAGCTCGCAACAAAGTGTCCCCCCAATTATGAGAAAACCCCAAATCACATAAAAACCCCAACTAACGCCCAAGGCCCGAACTTACGCAATCCCAATAACCCTGCTCGCAAATCCTAAAACCCTTACATAAACCCCCATGAGACCCTCAAAAAACATAAATCCTTCTACACAAACCCCCATGACGCCCTCAAAAAAACATAGACCCTTTATCCACACCTCTGCAAAACCTTTTGGTGCTCTTGTGTTAAAACCACAAAAAACCCTTATGAAACACCCCCACATAATGGAGCGCTTTATCCAAACAAGTATATAACTTTCCCATCAATAGAGGACCCTGTTGAAGGTCAAGGGTGTCTTCACGTTCCAGGTTTGCCGTCCTGCGACCAGGTGCCTCTGTCTTGCCAGGAACTCTGCCTGGGCGTCGTAGGCGGAGGTCTACCTATGGGATTCTGAAAAAGGGCTGGCAAATGATTCTTGAACGGTGCCTATGCATGGTGTTACGAGGACTCATAAGAGTTTTGAAAGGCTTCTCCGCGCAACCCTCAGCCCGAAACGTAAAACCGCATGTGCCAAAACCCTGTAATCAAACCCAAAACAGTTCAACCAAAGTCCGAAAAAAAACTTTAGCAAACACGCAAGATGCCCCAAACCGTAATAAACAAAACGAACCCCAACAATTCTCTTTAGAACAAAGGCCCCCGACCCTGGGTGCGACCCCCTGGGCTTTTGCCCGTCTTGGGTTCCACAAATCTTTCGAATTTGGGTTCTGTTTTCACCGTAACCATAAACCCTATAAGAACCTATGCTACGAAAGGAAACCGCCTTACAATGTAGGCTTTTAGCGGTTTAGGTGGGGCTCCGGAAACAATTACCTAAACAAGGACTTTACAAGGCTTTTGCAGTGTGTTCTAAGCTCGCTTCCGCAGTATCCGAGGAAGTACACGTGCAAACGATGAGAATAGTTCAGAAGTGCGACAAGATTAACTATTTGCGTCAACTTGAAACCGTAAGCGCAGCGTCAACGCAGTCCGCACATAAGTATAAGCGTCATCATTTTCAGAGACGCCTGTTCTGGCAATTGAGTTTGATGGGAACTGTGTCGACGTTTCCCCTGTACTCCTGAGCCGAGTTCTGCATCCATAAGCCAACCGGAGACCTAAACCTCAAACTTTTAACCTAAACCCTAAACCCCAAACCCTAAACCTTGATAAAGCATCTCTTTAACTCTCGTCTCTCCTTCCTCAAGGACAGAGTCTGGGATGCCCGGCGGCCACCATGCGTCCTGGCCGGTGTTGGGCTTTTTACCCGATGCCCCCCAGTTGGTACAGCCTACGAAGAAGAGCCGGGCTTGGGATTGAAGGTTTTAGCTGGAAGATTGGTGAGTGAGGCGGCCACAGCCTGTCAAGAAAAGTTTAAGGTTTGTGGTTCAGGGTAGATTATGCTTTTGCTAGCCCAAAGCGGTCTTCCGTGGGGCGGGCGGTCAGTAGCCAACGGAGCCTTTGCATGAAATACTGGTCGACCCAGGCGCACGCCTTGCTGACCGGACTTATTTATTCACAGCGCAAGACAGATCTCGAAGGGACTAGCGGTATCAGCCGCCTCTGATTCAGGGAGTCCCCCTCCGTGGTCCCACAGCCCTTCGGGCTGACCACGGACGGAAGCGACCCAGGGGAGTTATTCCAGATTGTAACCGCTTTTGCGGGTCACTCTTACAATCACCTGCTCCTAGCGTAAACGAATACTTTGAGCAGAACCCCGGTGTACAGCAGGGCCACGAATATTGAAAGGATCATTTCACGAAGTCACCTGGGCTGCTCTGCACAGCTACCTAAACAGCTTGCAAGATCGCCCAACAACACCGCCCCATCGTTGAGTTCTTCCAGGGTTTCAATCACAAGATCTAGGCTTGCAATAACGACCATACGTTTGACATTTGGTAAACTGGATGCGAACTACCGAGCTCGTCATCACCATCGTCATCATTAGCAGCATCCCCATCACCATCGCCATCATCATCGTCGTCATCACCCGTCCTGATCGCGATCATCACCAAGACTTGGATGATCATCATGACGGGAACAGAACCGTCTTCACCACGAGTCTATCAGTCGCTCCCAGTGCATGAGCCCAACCAGCTGGTTACAGGGTATTTCGAGGGGTTTAGATGCACGTTCTGTGAACTACGTTCTGCGAACGCGACCACTTTGCACTTCGAGATTCGGCTTTCATGCCGATGAACAGACTGGAGTTGTCCCAGCCTGAGCTGATGCACGCTGACATCCTTCAAGCAACAGCGCAGAAGACGGCGGAACCATCTTTGTATCAGAAGTGACACGAAAATCATATTGCGGCCATCTTGTCCCGATACCTGATAGTCATATGACCATTGCCAGACTATTAATCTTGTCATCAATGTCGTCTAGATCAGCATGGTTCATCATTGTCGAAAATAAAGCATCAGCGCCACTGCCATGAGCAGCACGAGCTTCCGTAGCAGCGGTATGAGTATCATGAGATTTGAGACTCTCCCGCTGTCTCCCGGGGTGAAACAGGCGTCAAGCCAAAGCAACCTTGACCTTCTTGCTTCTTTGCGCGGGCTTTTCGGAAACAGGGGCCTCGCTCTGCTCGGGGGCTGTTGCATGCTCCGCTCGATACGTGCTGGAGACCCAACCTGCTTTCCTTGGGCTGTATACTTTAGAGTCCCCCAAAAATGTTTAAGGTTTAGGTTTAGGGGTTTAGGGTTTAGGGTTTATATCTAGGTTCATACGGGAAGTCAACAAGTTTCCCAAAGCTCCACCGAGTTTCTCATCCCCCACAATCTGTTCAGTTTCAAGAACCAGGCGTGAGATGTTCTCGGTGGAGGCCTTCTCCACCTCACTCAGGTTCTTCCACCAATTCAGCAGACAGGTGATGGAACGCACTGCACGCGTGTATCGTTCCACCTTGCTCCCGGCACCAACAAACTCTGCCCAGGTGGTGGCAGCGGATGCTGACGCTGTAACAACGACCAATGCAACGGGCTGCTCAAACCGCGCCAGGACGGAGCAAGCAACGGTACACACAAGGATTAGCAGCTTGAAGGCGAAGACGTGGTTGGAGTACGTGGGAATCCTCTGTTGGTACCAGCTTTTCCTCTCCAGCATACGAAACTGAATGTACAAATCCGGCTGAACCGGTGAGAAATGGTCATCCACAGCAACTCTCTCATGCAATGCGCTGCTGCCCTGAGAAGAACCAAGACTGCCAGAGCACTGCTGGTGCCGGTAAACATAAGCAGGAAAGTTCTTGCTCCACCTGGGATGGCCCCTACAACCCTGCACCAAAACAAGGTAGTTCGAAGAATGTAACTCTTTCATCAGCAGTTTTTCGAACTTTGCGGTAGGGAACGTACAAAATGTCCCAATGGCCTACCAAGTCACACGCTGCGCTTGAGATCTGCTGACGACATCAAGTCTTCAGCCCAGTCGTTCAGCAACTTGCACAAAGCCAGTTCTGGCTGGCGGGGATCTACACCCGGAGCTAGCCGAAACTGGCCAACCCGCGTTCGGTAACGCCAAATGATGGATACCAAACTTAGGTTTCCGCAACGCAGTGCTTGCCACTTCGGTTTAGGTGTGAAGATCCCTTCAATAGACACCGCCGCACCACCAAGAATGGCCAGGATGAAAACCGTATCTGAAAAGCTGATGTCTAGCCAGGCTTTGTCAACTTGCGATGCTAGAATCACCAGCCAAGCCAACAGCAGCTGTGTCAGATACAGGAACTTGCAAAACACCTTGTACTGCCACGCGAGGTGATTTGCAATGTCAACTTCGTCCCAGGCCTGCTGCAACAGCAGCAGCCCTTCCAGCGAGTTCTTCTTGGGCAAGCTGTCAGACTGGACCATCTGATTCACAGTGCGGCGTGCATCGTCGAGATTATGGATATTCACGGATCGAAGCTTCGGATTCAACAGCAAGGCTCTGATACACGAGGTCAGCTGCCCGGCCTTCTTGTGAAAGTAATAGTCACGATTGGCATCGGTTTGTTCTAACTGTGGCAGCAAATCGAAACAGTCCTGGTAGGTGCGCCTGGCAAGCTGTTGGGCGATATCCATGACTTGCGCATCTGATGCCAACTGTGCTCCTGTGTCTGTTTCGGGGCTGACGCGATGGTTGAACCTGTCCTCCCTTGCCAAGCGAATGGCTTCATGTAGAGGAATGGCTCGCTCCTTCCGCTTCATCCGTGATCTTGGGCCACCTTCCTCCATACTTCCAAAGAGGAACTGGTGAGCGTAAGCCACACTACATGCATCCAGGGAGTCACAGAGGTTGTGAGTTCGCAGCTCGTCGCAGATGTTCTCAAAACTCCGCCAAGCTGCCTCGATGTATTGCGCTCTCGACAAGCTGGCCTACTGTGGCATGGGGGCCACCGAAGACGCTGAAGCCCTCCTTGCGAACAGCGAACAGTGCAAACTTGTGCTTCGGGAGGTTTGCAACCGGATCGGACTCTTCAGAAGTTAATCCTATTTCGGGCCGCTTCCGGAGGTCCAGAAGCAGCACTTCCACGCCAGCATTGGCCTGGTCCAAGCAAGCCTGGAAAGTCTTCTCATCGTTGGCGAACTTCTCCGCATGCCCGGTCTTCATGACAAAAGAGGGCAAGGTGCTTGCCAAGAACCGAACAAGCTCTGTGCGCAGGGACTGCGATGGATTTGTAGTGAACCCTTCGCCGTTCGTCTTCACGGAATCCACCAGAAACAGGTATCGAGTGTCGGGATCTATGTCATGCGTGCAATCACATTGGCCCAGTTTCGACCTAAAGTAACCATGGGTCTGGATTGTCTCCAGGATGAACGGATCCCTGGCAGTCCATGACTTTGACTTCCGGCAAAGCGACCTCCAATACGCACCCTGATCTGGATTGAGATAAAGGCGTGGAGTGCTTCCTGCTAGCGACAGAATCGTGAAAGGCGGTGGACTTCCCCATGTAGCGCGGTGCAATCTGTAGGAGCGCGCAAGTGCTCCAGCCAGTGCACAATCTCCGGGTATTGCATTGGCCAGAATAACGGCATTTGTGGAGGCTGCCAGAGGCAGAATTACATCCGACATGAACCTGGGTTCGAGTCCTGAAGGAGCATAAGTTAAGTGACCGTGAGAAGGAAAAATTGTTATTGACCATATACCTTGGTCATGGTAACTTAAACTAGGTTACAAACACAGGCCAGGAACATGTCAAACTTCTCCATGGACTCCAGCTCGTCATTCGGCCTCAGGAACGGGGGTGAGTCGTAGAAGATGCCGGGGTTCATGCGAAGGTTGTATTTAGATGCTGGGAAAAGGTTCAATGACGCACGCAATCCCCAAGAGTTCAGCAAGTTGATCACCAGTTTGGGCGTAGGAATCTCGAGGGCTTGCAACATCTTCTGCAAGGTCTGTGAACTGCTGCTGATGGAATCCGCTTGCGAATTTGTCAGGAACAGCAACTTCATCGGCCCCTGGCCTCAGCTGATCGAAAAGGCTCAGAGTCGTTTCCTGCGTGGTTAAACTTACAACTCAATTCCTAACCGTAAACCCTCACTGATACAGCCTGGCCAAGCTACCCAAGTCCAGGTCCTCGACCATGACGTACATGGTTTTGGCTTTCATGACTTGCAACTTCTCATAATCATAAGCGAAGACAGACATCTGCTGAGCCCCCGATGAGCATGCATAGTCCAGGCGAGGATTTAGGGTTTCGGGTTTTTTGGCAGAAAAAAGCAAAAGCGAGCAGTACTCGTGCAAAGGGAGCTTCTTGCTTCGAGTTTTTCTCGTCATGTGCCTTCTGCCGCTCTTCCTCTTGCTCTGCACTTGGAAGAGCTGTGATGGCATTGAGGACCTGACAAAAACGTACACAGCGATTCAAGAAAATGCGGCGGCAGTCAAACTTTCCGTGCACCGAAAAAAGAAATGCACTTTATAATATATATATATATATACATATATGTATTTATTTGTTTATTTAGAGAGAGAGTGAATGTCTAAAAGCCTAACATATGAAACATCTAGTCACATAACCATAAACATACGCATCTACATATGCATATGCATGTACATACACATATGCATACATATATACATAGTTTACACGTACAGATACAGACACATATACATACACATGTACATATGCATACACATATACATGTACATATACATATACATATGCATGTACATATACATATGCATATACATATACATATACATATACATATACATATACATATACCTATGCATACACATACACATACACCTACACGTA